AAACCCCCAAACCCTAAAACTCTAAACCCCTAAACCCCCAAACCCCTAAACCCCTAAACCCCTTAACCCTCAACCCCGAAAACTCCAAACCCTAAACCCCTAAAACTCCAAACCCTAAACCCTAAATCTCGAGCCGTTCGTCTCTACACCTGTCGGCTCTCCGGGCTCCTTGAAGCTCAAGGCCGCCAAAGTGCAGACCTGAGGAAAGCCACGCCCCAAAGGCCTGTACCCATATAGTATAATATAGTCGTAAATATAAATATAAATATAAATATAAATATATATATATATATATATAGTTAATTTATTTATATTTATGTAGCATCATACAGAACTAGATAGAACAATATAGCAATATATAGTAATCTATGGTATTGGGTAGGAACAACTGGAACTGTGTAGTATATCATAGTAGTATATAGTATTCACGTAGGCCCATTCAGTACTGACATAGGGTTCCTATATGCTGTGTAGGCACATGTAGCCTTACGGGCCCGCATTCGTAAGAGGTTCCCAGCCTAATAGCAGGATATGGATGTAGGTATCGGATACGTCACCTCACATTCTGTAGACTGCAGTATTTTATGCATAGTAGGCTGATATTGAGCAGCATGTGTCCTTCAGGGTTTAGGGGGCTAGGGCTAGGGAAGCGAAGAGGTCTCTACATATCACAGGCGCAGAACTCTGCATGATCATTTCCAGGCTTAACAAAGTTTAGTCGCACGGCCCCCTGTAGCCAAAGGTTACCACGTAACCCGAAACCCTAAACCCAAGTTTATAGACCTATGTAGGGGCTTGATTAATCACAACAGGGTTTTGGGGTACGTTATGCTATAACTATACTAAGGACCCCCCCCCCCCCCCGATAATGGTGGTAATGATTTAGGCCCTTGCAGTCCCTGATCAAAAAATGATTTAGGCCCCTATATGACCTGAAACCTGGAGCCTAAACCCTAAACCCTAAACCCTAAACCCTAAACCCTCAGCTCTGAGGTAGGCGCCGGGCATGCCAATGGCATCCTCCAGCGTGTAGACTCCTCGGAAGATGGGTAGTCGGGTCTTAAATAACGGTTTAGGGTTTAGGGTTTAGGGTTTAGGGTTAAATATACGTGGCCCTGATTTTTGAGGCCCAAATACTGTACAAGCATGGTGGGCAAAGACTCGTCAACTAGATGGCACAACCCTTGGAATAGGATAGTTGCAGATGGAGGCAGACGGGTCCTACATAGTAGGGTGCCTGATGCCTTCAATTTAGAATGATGTCACAAAAGAAAGCAGGCATCTGTAGCTGTGGCAGATCCACCAACAGTAGGGTGCCAGATCATATATTGACAGCAACAGCACCATTTCCAACACGAGACATATCTGCAGAGCTCCGTGGCTGAGGGAGTTGGGGAATTCGCTGGCTGATCGACCTGTTGATCTTGAGACTCACTGACAGTACGTCGATCTCCTTCGATGTAGCTGTTTATCTTGTGAAGGGACCCCTTCAAAATGATATCATTATCTTGAACAATTCGGAATCCCCTTGGAGACTGCATGTTGAGGTCCACTCGCTCGGTCTTTGAGGTCATGGATCTCTCTGATACTGATACCTCTCTGTGGATGATCGGGATATGGGCTTCGCTTTTAGTCTAGAGTCACATTTTGGATCTCTACAGAGCGACTCACAAAGAAGTCTAGGACACCCAACAGGTACCCTGAATGGGGTACTGGCATATGCTCTAATGCACAAGATAACACTGCAGCTCGTGGGGTATTCGCATCACAGTTGTTTCAACACCTTTCGAACACACTTCCGGCATGACGGCACTCGATAGGCTTATATAGGCTGAATGAATTTTTCACAGATTCAGAAGTACTAACACGGAAAGCACTTTTGAGGTTGCGTTCATGATCTTTAGAACGGTCACGGTAGATCAGACCAATCCCTCCGGAATGCGGCAGCAAAGAAGTGCTCTTGCCATTGCCTCATGATGTTCGATGCTTGCGCTTGTCATGATGAGAACGAGCTGCGTAAAGGGAGCAGCTGCGAAGCAGTATGAACGGCCCATGAACACTCGTTCCCAGCGCTCGAGCTAATCCGTCTTGAACTAGGCTTTTGCAGAGAAGGCGGCCTTTGGCTCAAGCCCGAGGAGTGGGTTCGGAGTTATGGCCACGGTTTTTTGCAAGAGATTTACTAAAGCTTTTTATCAGATAGTGCATGGGGTTTGTGGTAGGTCAGGTGATCAGGGTCAGAGCAAAGATATACAGCTGTGCATGACTGCGTGCATTGGCTGGCAGATGCAGATTCCACTTCTTGAAGACTCACTGAGTGTCAGGGCCTCATAGGGTTTCATAGATGCACAAAAGTAAGGATTTGCGGCTTAGCTTCGACTAGATACACGAGATCATAGTCCGTGCGCTGATGGACCTGTGCAGCCGGCATGTTTGCCGGCGCGTTCTGCCAAAGTGAGCAAGTCCGGGCGATATCAGACGTCGAAGTGCCATCGGCACCCTTTGACCAGCCAGGAGGATAATTAGTGATAACGCGCTTGAAGTTAGGATCTCCGATGGGCAGCGTATTGTCCTTTTCTGTTGCTCAAAACATGTAAGTTACAAGAGGTTCTGCTTGTACCATATAAAGCTGGGAGGCACTAGGGGGAGCTAAATCAAAAGCATGTTGGACTTCTGATTGCGCTTATCGCCTTTGGAAGGGTGCTGACGATATTGCTCAATCTGTATATGGCGGACCACCAGGTGTTCTCGTTAATGTCCATAGCCTGGTACAGGTCGGAAGAGCATTTGGGGCCGCGAAGGTTTGGCGAACTGCAGCGCCGAAACAACCAAGAGCGGCAACAAAGGCTGGTCAAGCGCCAAGCGTCGCCAATTGATCCAGCATCTTCATTGCATGTCCTCCGGTGATGGCTCGGGACAGGCCTTACCAAGATTTCGTAACGAATGTAACTGAAGGCCGGACGTTGCAAGCTCTGTGCATGACCTACCTTACGCCTCTGGGAGCTGAGAATCCACAGACCCAAACCCGAAGACTAAAGCCATGAGACCCAAACCCTCTTTAATAAACCCTATAAACCCTAAACCCTCAAAGTAAACCTTATAAGCCCTAAACCCTCAAAGCCCTGGTGTCACCCGACCTGCGACCATGGATCCTCGCCTGGCATGTCCGAGTTGTGAGAGCGTAAACCCAGTCTAAACCCGATTAAGCCCTGCACTCCGCGCGGCCATGCGTTTGGTGGCCCGTGCACTGACAGCTTTGCTGGCTCTGCCCAATGGCCTTGCAGAGTTTACATACTTCGCACCGGCAGATGCAAAGATGAGGGCTTGTAACAGTATATTATAGGATCTGAGGGTTCATGCACTTCTCCACATACTGCTCAGCTTCTGCATGGGGCCATCGTGGCCATCGACAGACTCCCCATGTTGCCTACCCTACTGTAGTGTAAGGAAGGTGAGATGAAGTAGAAGCGTACACGTCTAGAGCGGAGCAGAAGAGCTGTTGTTGGCGCTGCAGGCACAGTATGTGAAATTTCGCACCGTGGAAACACGGGTTGGTAATGCAGATTCAGTTGCCCTCGCAGAAGTGTATTTGTACGACCCGGATCAGAATTGGGTGGATCTCTCTTCTGCGACAGCTACCAACCCGTTTGGCAATAACTATAACGATGCGCATCCCGGTTCCGACGCACTCGACAAAGACCACACCACGAAATGGTTAGACTTCAACAAAGGAGACTTGATCATCAGCCTCCCATCTCCTTACACTGCGATACAGTATTGCGGAATGCAGTTGGCAGCCGATCATAGTGAAAGAGATCCAGTGCATTTCGAGTTGCTGCTGTCCCAGGACAACGTGAACTGGGTGATGGTGTACTACAATTCAGACCCAGCCAATGTGCCCGACCTTCGGAGCACTATGATAGAGCGCTTGCCTCTATCTGCGAAGTTTAAGGACTTCCTCTTCGAGCCTATAGCTGCTCGAGACGGGTTCTACGGGAATCAGGAGGTGCAAGTGGCAGAGTTCCAACTATGGGATGGTGCCACACCACCTGCAGAGATGGATTTGGCTGCCTTGGGTGCGCAGGCCGTGTCCTGGCAGAATATCGGGACGAGCCCAGCGGGGGAAGAGCCAAGCAAAGCCGTAGATGGAGATGTGACTACCAGTTGGGTTGAGATGGACATCCAGTCCTCCACAGGGATACATATTAGGTTTACTAACCCCGTGTATGTATCGAACTGGAGCTGGGTGACTGGCAGCAGCTTGACCTCCAGGGACCCTCTCCAATGGAACTTTTACGGATTGTACATGGAGACGGGCAGCAACAACATGATGCTTCTCAACCAACAGGCGACAGACTTTGATGTGCCTCTGGACCGAGAAACTTCTGTGGGGATGCTGAGCATTGCCGGTATGCTCGAGCTAAGCACCACGACAACAACAACCTTGTCAACATCAAGCTCAGGCACATCATCAAGTACCACATCTACATCTAGCGGCACCACAACAACATCCATGTCAAGTGT